TGCTTCGCGAGAGCCAGAGATGGGGTTACTGATTAGGCAGAGTTTTCGGAATTTGGGAATTTAGGAGGGGTCGATCTAGAATTCCAAATTCTTAAAACGCATAGTTTTTGGCTCAGTCACTCACTTTTTTGTTTTTTTATATATAAATATACACATCCAGTTTTATATACATTTTATAACATATAATAAATTTGATGTACTGTTAAATAGTTAAATTCAAGATTCATAAAACTCGCCTCTCAGTTGGCTCCCCTTGCTTGCTTGTGCGATCTTCTAACAACCAGCTATCAGAAAATGCAACAGAAAATTGGAAAAACTGTGATGGAGAAATGGAGAGCTTCATCTCATATTCTTAGCTACGCCACAAAACCGCGTTTCCATCTCTGGTTAATGTCTAATTCTGAGAATTCAATTTCTCGATCGGGTTCAGGTGTTTCTTTTTCTCCACCTCTGACTTTTTTGTTTGACTTGTGTGTGTGGATGCGAGTGAATATTGTCGTGCAGGAGGGTTTGATGTGATAAAGTTAAGCAGGCAATGGAGATCATAAATTTGAGTGTTTCTATCTGATAGTTCGATACAATTTCCTGTTTAGTTTGTGAGAAAACGCTATCAATTTTATCTTAGCGCAAGAAGAGAGCTGAAATCGGTTGTAAGATATAAGTTTATGTGCATTCTTAATATCTGATGCTTACTTCACCCAAGAAAATGAGTATCTATATCTCTAACTGCTATCTTTTTGTTTTGTGGATTTCTGCGCTTTTCTGTTCAGTCGTAAAAGTGGTTCTCCTCTTTGATAAAAGGAAACGAATTATAATGAAATTTTGACAGTACTTTCTTATATTTAATCAAAATCTCTGGTTTTAATATCTGGTTTTTGGCATTACTCAGAGCGGGACTGCAAAACTCTCCAACCATGTACTGAACATCAAAATCGAATTCTTCGTACATCTTCTCATCATCGTAAAGATCATACCGGTCATGGTAAAACATTTGCAAAGCAGCAGTACAGATATTTTAGTTCAGTAGCTACGGAAATTCAGCGCAAACCTTCATTTTCTACTTTAAATTCTGATGATATTAGCTATTTTAAGGAAATATTAGGAGAGAAAAACGTAATTCAGGATGAAGATAGGCTTCAGGCTGCAAATACGGATTGGATGCAGAAGTACCGGGGCTCAAGTAAACTTCTACTCCAACCGAGGAGCACTGAGGAGGTCTACTTATTCTTTTCCCGGAATTTCTGCTCTTCTTTTTTTTGTTTATCTATTGCATTCTACGTGAGTTTCAATTTATTCTTGCAAACATGAGATGGATGGGATTCTGAGCTTGATGATGCATGCATGTTTGGTGTCAAAGGTCTACATCCTTAGACTTTGATGATTAAAAACCGAAGCTTGTGCTAGTAGTTGCTCATGTAGATTCACAAGGTTTCACATGTATCTATAAAAGTTGAAACTAATTCCTTTTATTTCACTTGGCAAATCACCTTGAAGGTGTAAAGTCGTGCATGATAAAGTTGACCCTTGGTGTTGAGGTTTCTTAGGAAGTTCCAAGTTCAGATAATTTGTTATAGCACCTCTCTTTTTCCCCATAAATCACCTGAACCATCAATGATGTGATTACTTCAACAATCACCAGAGTCTTGGTGACAGAATGCCCACATGGATATTTTCCCTGTCTTCAATATTTGTGCAATGTTAAAAACAAATGAGATGTTTCACCTGAAATTCCTTACCATTTTTTCGATCACAGTTCTTGGGTCTATGATGGACAGCTTGCATATCAAACAATCACAATCATGCTGTTTCATGTTGGTAATATATTACGTCGTCAATTCACTAGGTTAAACTGTTTGCCTTACTGCCTGTCAACTAAATGCGCTTCTTATCTCTGTGACTAGATCATCGTGGTCTCTTTTTCCCCAATAACATTTAACATGCACTGCCTATTACTGAGTCTACTGTTTGCATTCTTGTCCATTTTCTTTTGCAGGTCTCTCAGATTCTTAAATACTGCAACTCTAGATGCTTGGCTGCCGTTCCTCAAGGTGGAAATACTGGTCTTGTAGGTGGAAGTGTTCCTGTTTTTGATGAGGTAAGATGGCTATTATGCCAAAATGACTCAGTTATTATTGACTCAAGGACGAAAAATTTATTGTGGACTTAGGACGGATAAGATATGGGTGAATTTCATTTAAAGTGCTAGAACCAAGAAAATTAGAAAGAAGTTGATGTGTGCTCTACTTGGGGATATGCTTTAGCCTGATTCAAATGGCAGAAGGATATCTATGTTGACTTGTAACTTGGCCGATTTTAATCAATTTATCTCTAGTTACAAACATGTTGGATACGAGCCGATTTAGGTTTACTAATTTTGCTACGATATAGCCATTGGAAGTTAAAACAGATGTTAATTAGAATCTTAGAGGTCAGACCTATTAAATAATGAATTATAACAAGTTTTTCAAAAGTTGAAGCTGATAAAAAAAGGACCAAATCCTGCTTTGACTTGTAATCAGTCTCCTAAAAAACTTAAGCCAATAAAACATGATCTAATCTATTATTTGTAAATACCCTCCAATACCATATTAAATAACCAATTTGCTTAAAAGTTTCAGTTGATAAGAAATGGTTCGATATATTATTTAAGACATGTCTTAGCCTTAGGAGGTTGTGAATGGAATTTCTGTCCAAACTCAACTCTTCTGCACCTCAAATTCTTGGAGCTTTTTTCTAAAGTTGGCCAATTTCATCACTTGTTAATACGTGTTGAATAGTTGAACCATACAGCTCTATGTATGTGTCACTGATGGACACATGACACAATCTCACCTACATGAACAAGCATGAAAAAACCAGGGGAAGTGATAATGCTAACAAACATTTAGTAGTTCAGTCTTAGCTGGATTTTGTTTATGAGAGTTAGAATACAATATCAATAATTGATTAGCCTGCATTTCTCATTAGTGTACTTTAGGACAATTAGTGACCAAGTTATGAGGATCACAAGGTCAAACCATGGAGTTGTCCTCCTTTTATAATTATTACGAACTTTTCCTTTATTCACTGCTAGATCTTCAAATTGTGCAAATCGGCCCATCAAGTCCTCTTCCGTTTTGCATGATCTCATTACTTGTTATTGAGCCTTCGTTCCTTCCTTGAGGTTGAATTCATGTGTTAACCTCACGTACAAGAGGATGAGTTAGAATATAATATGTATAACCTAAGCCTTTTCTATTAGTTAAACTTTTAGAACAATTACTCATCCAGCTCAACTATTTCATACTAATCATGCCTGATTTTCTTCAATTTTGGCTGGAGGTACTTTAATTTAAGCATGATTGTCTCCAACCCTGAATTTAATTGACTGAATTTTTGTTAACTTAATATAATTTGCTTTGCTAGATATGAAAAATGATAAATCTGGTCATAAATGTGCAGGTCATTATTAGCATTGGTTTGATGAATAAAATCATAGCTTTTGATCAGGTGTGTGTTTTCGTATCAATTTGAGCTTTCTTTGTTGGGTATCCTATTTATTTGTTTCTAGATGCTATCGGCTAAAGCATTTAACTGTTGCTTGACCTGTGTTTTTAAAAACTTAAGCTGTTCTCAGAAGAATTAAAAAAGAGATATTTTTCTCTTTTATTGTTAGATCATTGTCATAGCACTCTATTGCTTTTGCTGATAACTGTTGTATTATAAATTTCTTTTAAAGGGCTCCTTCAGTTCGTAACTTTTCTTGAAAGTTCTATATTAGAAATGGCATTCCCTTAAGCTAATATTCCTAATGTGAATATAAAAATATTTGCAACAGCTAACTGGATATACTATTATGTATGTCTTCCAGGTCAGTGGTATCTTAGTATGTGAAGCGGGATGCATATTGGAAAATCTGGTGTCTTTCCTGGACAACCAAGGGTACTTGTCTAGATAAGAAAATATTTTGTCTAATAACCTAGTTTATCTTTTCGACCATGTTCATGTGGTCATTGAAAAATTTAATTGTTGTATATAGAAATAATTGTGCTTTCATTCAGATTTATTATGCCACTGGACTTAGGTGCTAAAGGAAGCTGCCAAATTGGTGGAAATGTTTCAACTAATGCTGGTGGTTTGCGCCTTGTTCGATATGGTTCACTCCATGGCTCTGTACTTGGTAAGGACTGTCTTATCCATACTTCAAACTTTCTCCTTGGTTGTAAATGCCAGTATTATGCAGTCAGTACTGAAGATGCTATTCTTCTTCTTTTTCTTTGGATCATACAGGTATTGAAGCTGTTTTAGCAACCGGTCAAGTGCTGGACATGCTTGGCACTTTACGCAAAGATAATACTGGGTATGACTTGAAGCATTTATTTATAGGTACATGACAAATATTTTACACCATATAGATGTTTCTGTTTCTCATTGTAGTTCTCCAATACAATGTAGTTTCATGCATTTCTACTGTCACCTTTGCAGGAAGTGAAGGATCCTTGGGAATTGTAACCAAAGTTTCAATACTTACCCCTCCTAAGCTATCCTCAGTGAATTTAGCATTCCTTGCATGCAAAGATTATAACAGCTGCCAGGCATGATTTGTTTCCTCACTCTAATGTTCCTTCAGATGGCTTACAATTTATGCTAAATGGATCCTACAATATGATTACCAATATCATTGTTAAGCTGTTTAAGCCATTTACAAGGAGCCGCCTTCATCCCTCTCTCTCTCACTCTCTCTCTCTCTCTCTTTTTCAAACCATGTACGTGGGTAGCAGTATACCTTAGACCTTTTGTATAATTAAAAAAAAAAAGCAGATTATTGCTTCTCTGTGTAGTTGTACATTTACCCAAATTAGTTGTATATAAGTTCCTAGTTGCACTAGTAGATAACTTATGCAGAAGTATATTTATTTCATAGAAATGCGATGCAGTTTCTTGCTCACTTCATATTTCATGCTTCTGATGGGAAGCAAAAGTTTTTCTCCTAACATGTTCTCTTTTCTGTTTAGCAGAAACTTCTATTTGAAGCAAAGAGAAAACTCGGGGAGATTCTATCTGCTTTTGAATTTTTAGATGACATGTCAATGAGTTTGGTAAGTTTAAACAGACCACTTCTTTTCATTTAGGCCAGACATTATTCTCTGGTAATTTTAACATCTCAAACTTTAGTTTTTACTTCTACTGCTGTTCATGAAAACTTAATAGTTCCGGGTAAATGAGTGGCTCAATCATCAGATTGGCTTCTTTCTTAAGTTGGACTTGTCTTTTACTTGGAAACTTTTCGGTCATGGTTAGGATCATTTTTACTACATGCATTCAAGATCATCTCTTTTTGGATAAAGTATTAAAATAATTTCTTCATAATGTTGTCCTGTAAAATGTTCTTATTTGTAAGCTTTATGGATTATGGTATAGTTGCTTCGTCATGTACTTCATACTTGATTGCTTCTCGTAAGTTTAGTATTCATGCATCAGGTTCTCGATCGCTTAGAAGGTGCTCGGAATCCATTACCTTCCTCCACGGACAAGTTTTATGTTCTGATTGAGACAACAGGCAGTAATGAATCTTATGACAGGTATATTCTAGAAATTTATGCTGCAACAGAAATGCTTATCTTTGCTGTTTTAAATCATTGTTCTTATTTTGTATATGGGGAAATTTTAGATTTCAAGATCCCTGGCCTCCCAGATGCTCTTATTGCTGTATATCTTGGCTTGGACTTAACTGATCTTATTCACTTTGACTTTGTAAAGATTCAAAAATACTTTGGATTTCTACAGGGAGAAGCTTGAGGCCTTCCTACTTCGCTCCCTAGAAAGTGGCTTGATTTCAGATGGAGTAATTGCACAAGACTTGAACCAAGCATCCTCATTTTGGCGGATACGTGAGGTTTCCCATTTTGATTTAAGACATTTTAATTATGTATCTGCTGTTGGTCATTTTTCCCAAGGATAACTTGCAATTGATTGAAAGAAAATGTTTATTCATCTTTTCCCCATTTTATGTTGGCGTGAATAAAGTTTAGTGCATCTTTTAACTGGTGCAGGGTGTACCAGAAGCATTACAAAAGGCAGGTGCTGTTTACAAATATGACTTGTCTTTACCAGTCGAAAAAATATACGATCTTGTTGAGGACATGCGAGAAAGACTGGGTAAGCAACGTCTGGCTATTGTAATTTCTTTCTAGCCTCAAGGATAATGTTGAGGGATCCTATATATGGGCATTAGGTGCATATGTTATGAGGGGAAAGCTTTCAAGTATCCCTTCTAGAGCTGACATTGTTGCTTCTTTCTCCAAAATACTAGTTTCATGCTTGCAATCTGAAATTGTTTCATTTTTAGATTCCAAAATATGATTGTGCAATTTGTGACATTGTGTCATTGAAATTCGTAGGTGATTCGGTAAAAGTGGTTGGATACGGGCACCTTGGAGATGGGAATTTACATCTTAATATTTCTGCTCCGCAGTATGATAAAGCGGTAATTTCCAAATATACATTTTGAAGAGTAATTTACAAGTTTATTGACCTCGGTTGGTGTTGCAGCTTTTATCCCAAATTGAACCCTATGTTTATGAATGGACATCCAAGCACCGAGGCAGTATCAGCGCAGAACATGGCATAGGACTGATGAAAGCTAATAAAATCTTCTATAGCAAGTCACCTGACACTGTGAGTGTCTCAGGACTTCAGAATATTGTTTTTATTTGATTTGGTTGGTTTCCTAGAAGGAATTTTTGCGTTTGTATAAAATGTCTAAAATAGGAAAGCTCTCTGGACAGGTGCAAGTAATGGCTTCAATCAAGAAGCTGCTGGACCCCAATGGGATACTCAACCCTTATAAAGTTATTCCACATTCCCTCTGCTAGTGTAAATACAGGTAAGGAATTAGATCCTGAAATTTAATAGCGACTTTTATTACTATTTTGTAATTTCGTATGAAATATTTTTGAAGAAAGATAACTTGTGATTTATTTGAGTTGAGGGACAAAAAAACTAGCCAATCAGTTGTAACGCGGTATTTTTGTAAAGTGGAGCATTATATCTAAATATTATGTGGAGTACTTATTATAATCAATAAATAAGTGTTAATAAGAATTATGTTAATACCACTGTTTTTTGAATTTTACATTTCACAATTTGAACTTATTACTCAATTCAATTCAGTAACGAAATGATTTGGATCTTCTAACTGCATCACAATCAATTTGAATTGTAAGAGAATCTTAAAATCGATATTGAATCATGTGACTTAATTCAACTGTTACAATTCACTTGAATGCAGTTCAAACAATATTTAATCAAATATTTTGATGAGTTATTTGTATTTTCTTTGAAAACTATATATAAATGATAGTAAATTTTGATTAATGGACTATGTTTTGAATCTTACAATTTGATTCCATTTGTTTTGCGATTATCAATTAAAAAAATTATGATTTCAGTATCAATTTGAATCTTGATTCAAATACTATGTCTCCAACTGGTGAGATAATATTTTCCCAAGTACAGATGCTACTTTGCTAATTGCATATTTGAGATGTTATCTGGACAACTTCTCCCTTCCCTCTCAGCCCTCTTTCTAGCTGTCCATGTACTTTGATTTTCTTTTTCGTATGAACTTTTTCAAAAAAATTCTTTTCTATGTAAATTAGCATGTTGTGAAAGTGCTTTCGAGCCTCCGTTCAGGATGAAGGCACACTAGCTACAATTGGAGTAGCGTACCCCGTACAATTGTATTCATGCTTAAACAGATAGATGGTGAAGGATACCCAAGCCTCTCTCTGGTCCTTGTCCTTGTTTGTTGTTTTAACTCTCTTGTCTGTGGTCAACATGCACCTGATAGTTGATTATCATGATTCTCACGAGCATTTATGTGAGAATTGCATAAAATTAGTAAAGAATATTTGCTTTCCGCTATATTAGACTTCACTTTGGACGAAATCACTCGTAAGAGCATCGAATTGAAAAGCACTCTTAGAACAAGTGTTGGTTTTATGCCGTGGACACTTCCCTCATGTGAACTATCTCAGTATCCTTTTAGTGCAGGACATAGTTTATTTTTTAGCAAAAACATAGTGGCAGGGCTTTATTGATTTGCACTAGATAGGAAAATTTCTTCTAAAGCATTTCACTGCAAAAGGGTCGCTCCCCTTTTGTGGAAAGCGATGATGAGGTACTTGATCAAAAGTAATTTCCAACTGTCATTAGCAGTGAAAAGAATGTGATTTTTTTTTTTTTAACAATGATATTGTAATTTCATGTTTTGTTTTGGGAATGGGTTGGAACAAAACTGAGATGCTTCTAAGAGAGAATACCCCTGTTTTGGCAACAAGGATAATATTATTATTGCAATGGGATTGTTCCATTACCCAAAGATTGGAATATGCTAATCCTCATTAGTGAGGATTAGAGGGATTGAATAGCTGTAGGGCATATACCTGCCTAAAGAAGATGGAGAAAGAGAAACTGAAAAGCAAAGGTATTGATTAGTTAGACGGTGGACTGGTCTCCAACAGTGTTGAATTTTGTAGATAAGAAGGAACTTAGCATCAAAAATTAAAATCTTTTTGTATGAAGTGTGGAGCAAGCAGAAAGGTGCCTTCACCTTTCTCCATTATCAATTTTTTTTTTTTTTTAATATTAGTATACATTATCTTCTGATGGATGCCTTCTTTGTCAAAAAATTAACACCAAAATTGACTTAATCCTCATAATTTAATTAGATATTTGATAATTAAAAAGAAAGATAAATCAAATATTACAATTAACTACTATCAATTTATAATGTAATCACAAAAATAGCCTACTCTGCGTTTAGGTGTATGTAATATTTGAGTGGCTTCTTGTTAATAATTGTGAATTAGTGTTACGAAAATCTCACTTTATAATGACAATGGGCGAACTAACTAAAACAATGTAATAAATAGCAAGCTGGATGTTCCATAATCCGCTGTCGAAATTGAAAATCGTAATTATTTTTATATTTATGTGGATTAAAATATAAGATGTTCTAGTGTAATAATAAATTATATTTACTAAAAGTTGATAAAAGCATGATGCTTTTGATTCAACTCGTTGAGGTTTTCTCGGAGGCAAAAGAGTTGTTTTTGTCATTTAAGAAAAATGTGACCTCTTTTTATGTACAGATTTTTTTTTTTTATAAAAAAAATATTCAATTATGATAATTTTAATAGACAATATAAACAATTTTCTCTATTTTATTTCCTATAAAGTTTAGAATTATAATAACTTAAGATTAAAATTTATATATTTTGAAAATAATTATGTTTTATTTAAGTCATATAAATAATTAGGGAGAAAAATAATGAAATAAACACTTTTTGATTCTTAATTCCTAATTATAGGTAAAAGATATATTATTTGTCATTTTTTATGTTTACCCAAACAAACCATGAACAATTTTATTATTTTTTTTCAAATTTTTTTATTAATTTGGAGACTAAATTTGTAATGAAAAAAATTCATAGCTGAATTAACAATATAGCTCATAATTTAATAACTGAACTGATAATTTATCCTTATATTTATGATGTAATTATGAAATAATAATTTAATTTTAATAATATTTCATTGGCATATGTAGTATCTAACGACTATTTTATTAAAAAAAAATAGCACATGATTCATCTTAATTAATAGTTTCTACAAATCTAATTTATTTAAATTAGAATATGAAATTTTAAGCTGGAAATCTGTAGGAAACAAAAATTTAAACGTATTTTGTTCAAAAGAAAACTAGTTTGGGGAATTTATTAACGAGTGCCGCAAGAATACGACGTCGTTAAGGAAGCGGCCTTGTCAGTATAAAAATCCGCCTTGGCAATTGACAAGAAAAATGAGACCCTCCATAACTAATCCCCGATTAAATTACAGTGAAGAAGGATATTACACACATCTATTTACCTCTTAAACCGTCGCTTCCTCTCTTTGTCACTTTCATCAACCTCCTCATTTCACTCCTCTCTCTCTCTCTCTCTCTCTCTCGAAACCTTTCGGCTTCATCTTTTATTGTTTAAAGCGAAAGCATGACCAGCTCCTCCGCTGCCGCTCGCAAGGTTTGCTCTCGATTATCTTCTTTCCGTTACGTAGCCTTGGCTGTTCGTGTTCTGTGCGCGTACAACGCGTGTGTCGTCTGAGTTTTTTACTTTTGTTAATGGATTATCTGTTTCAATAGTATTGAATTTTGGTGTTTTCTAGACACTGAGTAAGATCGCTTGCAATCGGCTCCAGAAAGAGCTTGTAGAGTGGCAGGTCAACCCTCCCGCTGGTTTCAAACACAAGGTCACTGATAATCTCCAGCGGTACCTATTTCTATCTCTCTTTTCTCCTTAGGGTTTTTCTTTACGGTTAATATTGTTGGTCCTTCGTTTGGTTCCCGAGATAACTTAAGGACTGAAACGCCAAAACAAAGACAGATTTCGGGTCGTCTGTTCACGATGCCTAGGATTTAGGGAAAGGAATGTTTATAGAATACTGTCTTTGACTAACTGGAGTACTGCAGCTAGGCGGATTGGTAGTTGGGGCTGTTCTTTGATAAGTTCGAGTCTAGATTTAAGGAATTGAAAATTTATGGCTTCTCCGTTGATTTTTATGTTCGGAGTATGTTTATGTGATCGGATTCTTTCTTACATGCACCAATGTTTTATATCTCAATTGGTTTGGCTAATTGCATGTGTATGCATATATTTATAAAAGGTGGGTGATTGAAGTAAATGGAGCTCCAGGGACACTCTATGCTAATGAAACTTACCAACTTCAGGTCGATTTTCCTGAGCATTACCCTATGGAAGCCCCACAGGTTTATGTAAAATTATTGGACTCTGTATTACAACTTTCCCTTTTATGATTTGATTACTGATACATGTTTTTTGACACTCATGGTGCGGAATAGGTTATATTTCTTCATCCAGCTCCATTGCATCCGCATATTTATAGCAATGGTCATATTTGTTTAGGTAAATCACATGTTATCTTTCGCCCTGTCTATCTAAGCTTATTTGAGGATTGTTATCATAACCCGGTTTTTTGGAACTTTGCCACTAGATACTTGATAATTATGTTTTTGTGTCATGGTATTATCTCTTTATCTTATTGATTGTTGTTCATTCATATTTGGAAGTGGTGACCTTGCCCCTGGATCTTTCTGGCTACCAATCATTGGCTCTAATTTTCCATCTAGTCTCTTAAGAAATTTCTTTTTCAATACGGGAATGGGACACTCTTGGTCTTCACGATTGCATAATTTTTCACCTTGTTCTCTTGTCCTCCTTAATATATCATGTCCATGTCACTTAATCCAGATTTGGAGGACATGGAAATAGATTAAGGTCAAACTTTAACCTTTTAATTTTCTTGGCTGGTAGATAAATAAGAAGTTATGCAAATAACTAGCAAAACAATTTTTCTGTGGCTTTGATCCACTTGTGGAAAAATTCTCTTATTTGGTTTTTCATGATCTTTAATTGATAGGCAAGCTGATTGACTGGATCCTGAAGTGGCCAACAAATCATGGATAACTAAATGCTTAGGAAATTAAATTGCC